ACACAGTAGCTATTGTGCACTGGGAGCCCCAAATACTGACTGACATCAGCTTCTGGGACAAATTTTTTTTTTTTTTGAGACACATTCTCACTTTTTTGCCCTGAGTCACTGGAGCACAGTGACACTAACAGAGCTCACTACAGCCCTGACCTCCTGGGCTCAAGCAGTCTTTCAGCCTCAGCCTCCAGAGTAGCAGGGACCACAGGTGTATGCCACCATGCCCAGCTCATTTTTTGTAGAGACGGGATCGCGACGGGTTGCCCAGGCTGGTCTTGAACCCCTGGGCTCAAGTGATCTGCCTACCTCAGCCCCCCAAAGTGCTGAGATTACAGGTGTGAGCCACCGCACCCGACTTTGGGACATTTTAAATTTATTTTTGCTGGAGGGGAGGGAGTGTATTCTATGACTGAAGCCCATAACAGCCAGCATCTGATCCTTGCTGAGGTCCAGTTCAGTGGGGACAGGTTACCCTCCCCAGCAGATCTTCTTGGCAGCGCAGACAGAACAGCATTGGCATTTCCAAAACAACCACACCCATAACTATAGCTGCATTTCTTAACACTCCTCCTCAGCATCCCATGGTTTTGAAAAAAGGGAAAAACACCAATCATATCTCTGGAATCACAACTTTAGAGTTGGACTGCTTCCCAATCCTTTCCTATACAAACCTGGCAGTGAGCCTGGATTGTGATGACCCCTCTTTCAAAACCACAAACACAGTTCAAGTAATCCCTTTGTCATTTTTGAAAAAAAAAAAAAAATACAAAGGAGGCATGACTAGACAGAAAAAACACAGCTAAACATGGCAGCTAAACCTTCTTTACACTTAACAAGTGGCTCCCCACAAAAAACAAAGCAATTCTTCATCTCAGAGCCCCCAAAAAGATTGTCCTTGTGAAGGCCTTTATAATGTTGCCTCCAGGCACTAAAAAGGTCATGAGATGTTAGCCATTTCATTGATTAAACACATTATCTCAATTATGAGACAGGTTACTACTGACTTAATATATGTGAATCAATGCGAATAAATTAGGTAGTTTTTTCAGATGGATAAAAACAACTCTCTTGTCATATGAAAATAGAGCTAAGTTAAGAAAATGGAATGTAAACATCTTGGTTATATTTTCTTTTTTTTTTTTTTGAGACGGAGTCTCACTCTGTAGCCCAGGCTGAAGTGCAGTGGTGCGACCTCAGCTCACTGCAGCCTCCCCCACTGGAGCTTCAGTGATTCTCGTGCCTCAGCCTCCCAAGTAGCTGGGGCTACAGGCACGCGCCACCATGCCCAGCTAAGTTTTTGTATTTCAGCAGAGATGGGGTTTCACCATGTTGCCCGGGGTGGCCTTGAACTCCTGAGCTCAGGCGATCCACCCACCTCGGCCTCCCAAAGTGCACGGATCAACAGGCGTGAGCCACTGCGCCCGGCCTTGGTTATATTTTCAACATAGTGAAGGTTTGAAAAATTAGATCCTAAAATATGAGAAGTTGCCCATCACAGTATTTGGGATAAAATGGAGTGCCACCAGCTCGGATGAGAATTAAGCTAACCGCTCAACAAGGAAACCAATTCACAGAGAACACACTGGGAGTCAATCACGAAAAGGAATAAGCTGGAATGAAGCTATTCTCTGGTTCTCTCGCTTCCAGTGTTGATACAAAAACACAACTTCACCGTACCCCTCTGGATTTCACCTCCTTAGCAGCAAGATCCTCCCATAACATCCGTTTCCCTCGGTCTTCTTTGGGTCATGATGAAAGTTAAGCAGAAGAAAATCTCAGATGACAGATGACCCACCCTTGATTAGGCCCCGCAGGGTCATTAGGCCCATCCTCATCACCACCTCACACACTCCCTAAGGTGTCTTCTCACAGCCCCCACTGGCAAGGTGAAGGTCACATATACCACTGATACATCTGAAAAATAAACACCTTTGTAGCCCAAGGAATTAGAAATACCTTCATCTGTTTTTTTTTTAAAATGGTCTTTACATCAAGGTGCTGCAGCCAGTGGGGCACGAGGCAGAGTGTTCACCTGGGTCAGAAGGTTTTGGAACTCTTCCACTGCCTGTGAATGTGCCTTGGGGTTGAGCACCAGGTGCTGGAAGAGATTGACAGGCTCAGCACTCCTAAATGTCTTAGGGATCGGGATGGTCAGGGGCAGAGAAGTGTTACCAATGAGGAAATGATGGAGGGACCTTTGCTGGAGGCCACGGCCCAAGAACCAGAGAATGTCCTGGAGCCGCTGGGAGAGCATGTTGTGGGCCCAGTCCGTGAGGGGCAGCCGTAGCAGGAGGTGCATGAGAGCTGTTTTAAAGTGGTAAGATGTGAGGATGGGGCGGGATGCTCCGCGGGGTAAGCTCTGATGCTGCCGGAGACTTAAAATGATCTGGAGGCACTTGAGGTGACAGGTGTTCTCGGGGGCAAAGCGCCCCACCAGCTTCAGGAACAAGTGCTCACAGGCCACAAAGGACTCAGGCCAGTCCACACTGGTGAGCTGCTCCTGGTCAGGAGCCTGGCTCACCAGGTAGACCAAGGTGTCTTCGCGTTGCACCCCCAGGACCAAGTGGATTGAGAGAAAGCGGCCTGAGCGATAGTCTAGCCTGAGCTTGCAGGAGGTGGGAGACGGTGGGAGACTGAGTTTAAAGTCATACTTGTGGGCCACAAGGGCCCAGGCATTGCCCATCATGTTCCGGAACCACTGCACAGTCTTGCACACGTCTAGGTGGAAGCCAGTGCAGAGAGCTGCCTTGATGGAGCTACTACACTTCCCCAAGCCTGCCGAGGGGTCCCTGTGGTGGTGCACCAGGCACAGCACGTCCCCTAGGAGCTTCTCACGCTTGCACACACATTCTGACTCCACCAGCACACAGCCACAGCGGCGGCCCAGGGCCGGGTCCTTCATCTCCAGGACAAACATGGTGCCCTGTGGGGGGACGATGGGCACCAGGATATCAAATTTCTGGGTCTCATGGAGGGTTCCCCATTTCTCAAAGGCAGCCCCGATGCCCAGGCAGTCTTCCAATTGTGGGTGAGCCTCTTGGCGGCTGAGCACCCGACAGGCCTCAATGAGATCATCCACAAAACTCTCCACAAACTCACAGGTGCCAGGCAGGTCACGGATGGCGTTTTGGACATAGTGTTTGTAAAAGGAGTCCAGGGCCTCCTGGGAGGGGAAGTCAGTAAGCCAGTTGTAAGAGGTGACAGGGACAACATGGACTTCCTCCTCCTCCTCCTCACTGCTGGAATCAAAGGCCGGCTCTTGCTGCATGTTCTGTCGCAGGAGCTCAAAGACGAGAAAAAGGCAAAAGAGGCCAGTGTTCCACAGGTTTCCCAGCATCCAGCCCAGAGGCCCCTCCTGGCCATCGGCCTGGAACGGCCACCCCATGTCTTTCTTCCCTAGCACTAACTGGTCGCTGGACGTGTCTCCTCTCCAGAAGTTCTCTGCCTTCTGCTTCTGCTCAGCCGCTTGCTTTCTCTCTTCAAACTCCATCTCTAGCAGGCGCATCTCCTCGCTCATTCGCTTCTCCAGCTGCCGACTCCTGGCTAACGTGTCCAGGTCCATCCGGTCACTGACCATCAGGGGGTGGTGAACAACATACATCACTGCCAAGAACAGCAGGCTTATCACAGCCATGGAGGCCTCTGCATCTGGAGAAGTGGGAGACTAGGAGTCAGTGGTCATCTTTGAGACTCATCCGCTCTCTAGCTCACACTCCCCAGAGCCCTGGTACCCCAAATTCTGAAAATCAACTACTCAGGAGAAACAGAAAGCCCACAGAGCTTGGCTTGGACACAGCAAGGGTGGTCGGCCTGGGAGGAGGTTCGAGAGAAAAGAGGGCGGCAGCCTGTGCCCCTCAGTCTCTCTCCTGCTTTCCTTCCACACGGTGTGGGTGGTATTTAGGCTTCCAGAAAGTGGACATGGGACTGTTTTCATTCCTGTGTAGGATGGGGAGGGGGACCCTTGTGGTAGGGTGGCCTCACCCGACTCATCAGTCAACCATGGGCACCAGACATGCCCTGCTGACCCCAGAGACTCCTTTCACAGCCAGAAAGCCCCGAGCCTGCCTGGGTGACACCTTTCCTCTGCCCGGCAGCCAGCTGTAGCATTCCACTTCCTCTGTGACTTCACAGTCTCCATTCTGCTCACCCAAAATGCAGTGAGCCTCATCACTCAGCCTCTCCCTCTCTGCCAGGGAGTGCCAGGGAGGCACAGTGCCACCAGCTGCTTGCTACGGTACCCTCTGAGCTCCTAAGGGGCCAGTGGATACCCAGCGTGTGGGCAGGCTAGCTTCACGTCTTAGTCCAGAATGCAGAACCGGGTGCCCAAGGCCTACCTGACAGCCGCAGGGGTCAGTTCCGCTGCCTCCCCACCCACCCGTGAAGCCCGAGCTTCTGCCATTCACCCTCATTCACAAGCTACCGCGCTTACCCAGATTCATGAAGGACTGCACCGTGTGGACGCGGAAACCAGCTGGGACTCTCCTTCCTTTGGAACTTGGCCTTGCTTAGTTAGTCTCCTCGCCCTGTCCAGGAGCCCTGTGAAAATGCAGAAGGTACCTGGGGGCTTTGGTTCAACTCCGAACCCGCCCCTCCCCCCATTCATAACTTCCCCAGATTCCACGCCCAGAGACTTGTACTCTCACCCGCCTACCCGTAGGAGGCCGAGGGCCCATCCCACCTCGGGCTGTCTCCCGGGACCCAGGGCCGGGTTCCTCACCTTCGGTGTTAGGAGGAACACGGTCTTAAAGAGACAGCGCGGCCTGACCGCCACTGCCTTTTTCCCGGCAGGGTGGGGGCGTCCGGTTCATCGCGGGGGCCGCGCGCGGGAGTGGCCCTGCTCCCCTTTCCTGGGTTACAGATCATGTTTGGCTGAGCGTCTGAACGTCTGGCTGGGCGCGGTGGGCCCCTAGGACCCCCAGCACGCGGCTCCGAGGGCGCCCGCGCGCCGCAGCCGCTCCCGCCGTCCGGGCTCCTCCCCGCCCACCCAGTACAAGCTCCGCCCCGCCCAAACCCCCGTGGCTCAGCTCGCAGGGGCCGCAGCCGCCGCACAGCCGGTCTCCGTCCGCACCCAGGTCCCTGTGGGTTTGCTGGGGCAGTGGAGGGGCCGTGGCCACGCACCGTGGGTTTGCTGGGACAGTGGAGGGGCCGTGGCCACGCACCGTGGGTTTGCTGGGAGAGCGGAGGGGCCGTGGCCACGCACCGTGGGTTTGCTGGGAGAGCGGAGGGGCCGTGGCCACGCACCGTGGGTTTGCTGGGAGAGCGGAGGGGCCGTGGCCCATGCACCGTGGGTTTGCTGGGAGAGCCGAGGGGCCGTGGCCGCACACTCGCCGCTGCTCGGCCTCCCTGGGGTGGCAAATGGGGCACCGCGCGCCTGCAGTCAGCTGCACTCGGTTCAGTTCAGTGGAGAATAGACTTACTAGGATTCGGGTAAGGATGATGGTGGTAAAACTGGGAATTGACCGAGAAAAGCCATTCTCACTTCGGGCTGGCCCTGAGCAATATGGCACAAGAAATAAGATGTGGTTGCAGCACCCTAAATGTGCTTCTCTCCCAGACCACACCCAGACGCAGGAGTCTTTCCCCAACCCCTTTCTCATATCAAAGTGACTCTCCTGAAAGAACAGACAGCACCCAAAGACCTTACTTGTGGCCTTGCTTTCTACTCATTAGCCACGTGGGAGTAAGAATCCTACCTACAGGGCAGCTCTGCTGATGCATGGGTGTATAAAGGAGAACTTTCCACAGTGTGGAGGCTGGACAAGCTTTATCACACTTTAAGAAACACCAACAGAATGGGTTTCCTGAAAGGGATCTTAAGATATCAGAAAGAGCGCTTAGTCCTCCTGTCCTGTGTCGGCTCTCCAAGGAGAAAAGGAAGTGATGACCCCTTGATACTAACTCACTAAAATCCCTCTGCTGAAAGACAGGTTTCAGGGTTTTTGTTTGTTTGTTCGTTTATTTTTGAGACAGAGTTTCGCTCTGTCCCCCAGGCTGGAGTGCGGTGGCACCATCTCGGCTCACTGCAGCCTCCCCGCCCCAGGTTCCAGTGATTCTCCTGCCTCAGCCTACTGAGTACCTGGGACCACAGATATAAGCCACCATGGCCGGCTAATTTTTATATTTTTAGTAGAGACAGGGTTTCACCATGTTGGCCAGGCTGGTCTCGAACTACTGACCTCAGGTGATCCGCCCGCCTTGGCCTCCCAAAGTGCTGGGATTATATGTGTGAGCCACCACGCCCGGCTGGGTTTCAGGTCTTCTTATCCAGTGGCAACGTGTAGGGAGCTCCCAAACAACTTGTACAGTACTTCCAAAAATACTGACTTATTTAATTGTGGAGCAGGGAAAACTGTCTGCTGGCTGACAATGACTGAAGTTCTGAAGTTACTTTTTATAAACGTGAATTACGGAAAATAGATCACAGGTTATTGAGCATGCATGCATTTGGAGCAGTAATAATGAAAGTCACTTATCTTTTCACTTATGACATGATGTCAGGATGCAAAATATATGCTTCAGAGTATGCAAAATCATGTTTAAAACCATGTGTTTTTAAGTTTTATTATTTTAATTGACAAATAATAATTGTACATATTAATAGGGTGCACAGTCGTGTTTCATACGTATGATGTATAATGATTTCAGATTAGGGTAATCAGCATATCCATCATCTCAAACATTTATTTCTTTTTTTTTTTTTTTTTTGAGACGGAGTCTCGCTCTGTCGCCCAGGCTGGAGTGCAGTGGCGCGATCTCGGCTCACTGCAAGCTCCGCCTCCCGGGTTCATGCCATTCTCCTGCCTCAGCCTCCCGAGTAGCTGGGACTACAGGCGCCCACAACCGCGCCCGGCTAATTTTTTTTTGTGTATTTTTAGTAGAGACGGGGTTTCACCGTGGTCTCGATCTCCTGACCTTGTGATCCGCCCGCCTCGGCCTCCCAAAGTGCTGGGATTACAGGCGTGAGCCACCGCGCCCGGCCTCAAACATTTATTTCTTTGTGTTGGGAAGGTTCAATCCTCCCTCCAGCTATTTGAAACTATGTATTATTACCATTATTATTTTGTGTGTGTGTGATGGAGTCTTGCTCTGTCGCCCAGGCTGGAGTGCAATGGCGCCATCTCAGCTCACTGCAACCTCCACCTCCTGAGTCAAGCAATTCTGCCTCAGCCTCCCAAATAGCTGGGATTACAGGCGCACACCACCAAGCCCGGCAAAGTTTTTGTATTTTAGTAGAGTGGGGGTTTCACCATGTTGCCCAGGCTGGTCTCAAGCTCCTGAACTCAGGCAATCTGCCCACCTTGGCCTCCCAAAGTGCTGGGTTTACAGGCATGAGCCACCGTGCCTGGTCTATTATTGTTAACTATCGTCACCCTACAGCGGTGTGAAACCCTAGTACTTAGTCCTCCCATCTGACTATAATCTTGAATCCTTTAACAAATCCCTCCCTATCACCACCTTCCCCTCCCCTTCCCAGCTTCTGGCATCCTCTGTTCTACCTTTTACTTCTATTAGATCAACGTGTTCTAGGTCCCACATGTGACTGAGAACATGTGGTGTTTACCTTTCTGTGCCTGGCTTATTTCACTTAATATCCTCCAATTCCATCCAAGTTGCTGTGAATGACAGGATTTCATTGTGTTTTTTATGGCCGAATAGCATTCCCTTGTGTACATATACCACGTTTTCCTTATTCATTCGTCTATTGTTGGACACATAGGTCAGTTCCATATTGGCTATTCTGAATAGTGCAGCTATAAACATGAGGTGCAGCTGTCTCTTTGATATAGTGATTTCCTTTCCTTTGGATAGATTTTAAGTAATGGGATTGCTAGATCATGTGAGTAGTTCTACTTGTAGTTTTCTGAGGAACCTCCATGTTATTCTCCATGGCAGCTGTACTAGTTTACCCAACAGCATATCAGAGTTCCCTTTTCTCCCCATTCTCACCAGCATCTGTAAAACCGTGTGCTTTAAAATGTGTGTTTACAGTTAAGGATTTGTTTTAAAAGTGGTTGTTGGATGGGGGCAGTGGCTCACGCCTGTAATCCCAGCACTCTGGGAAGCCAAGGCAGGTGGATCACCTGAGGTCAGGAGTTCAAGACCAGCCTGGCCAACATGGTGAAACCCCGTCTCTACTAAAAATGCAAAAAAAAAAAAAAAAAAAAAAAAAAAAATTAGCCAGGCATGGTGGTGCATGCCTGTGAGATCGCACCACTGCAATCCAGCCTGGGCAACAGAGCAAGACGCTGTCAAAAAAAAAAAAAAATAGTGGTTGTTAGGTTGGATGGTTGTTAATTCATGGTCTGTACAGAAATGAAGTTGGTGGCCTGATACTGTTTCTTAATGAATTCAACCTAAAATTATGAGGCAAAATGGTGCTTATATGTGAAACTTACACTGTGATAAAGTCATTTCAACAACTAACTTTGACTCACAAGTGATATTGACCTGCTTAATACACTTCCTGTGCTGACAAAAGGTAAAACAAAAGCAAGATCTCTATTTTTACATAAATTTGCAGCAGATGTATTTTCAGAGCTCAAATTACAGTTCCAGCAGACTTTGTCAGACATTAGTGCAAGTAAAAAGGACAGTTCTATATTTCAAAATTCATTTAACTTCGCAATTGAAGAGCTTCCCTCTAACCTTCAATTAGAAGTGATTAATCTGCAATGTAATGACATTAAAAGGCAAATATCAAGAGAAGATTCTAATCATATAAATGCCTTCGAAGATCAATTGAAATCATGTGCTCGTGGATTCATGTCAGTATTTGACAGTGCCCATCTACATTTTCAAAGAAGAAATATGTAAAATCTCATTACAGATCAATATTAATAGATGAATGTTTGCAGTCAGTCTGGATGATAAGAAACACTAACATTAAGTGACATGTTATTTCCCAAAAAAGAATTATGTCATTCTCATTAGTAGACCCACATAAAAATTGTACTCGGCCAGGCATGGTGGCTCACACCTGTAATCCCAGCAGTTCAGGAGGCTGAGTCAGGAGAATCGTTTGAACCTGGGAGGCGGAGGTTGCAGTGAGCAGAGATCGCGCCACTTTTTGTAAACAAGAATGTGTGGAAATTTGTTTTCTCTCTTGTTATGTAAGTACCTACATGGTATCTTGAGTCCGTCTCTTGGCCTGCGAACACTCAAACATTTACTCTCTGGCCATTTACAGAAGTTAGCTGACCTTTGCTTTTAAGCATCAAAAAGTGCACATTTCCCTCAGAAATCTATTTGTAAAATTGTATATTTTTATGGCTGGATGTGGTGGCTCATACCTGTAATCCCAGCACTTTGGGACACTGAGGTGGGAAGATGGATTGCGACCAGGAGTTGGAGATCAGCCTGGGAAGCATAGCGAGACCATGTCTCTACAAAAAATAAAAAGTAAAATAAATTAGCCAGGCATGGTGGTACAAGGCTGTAGTCCCAGCTACTCAGGAGGCCGTGGCAGGAGGATCACTTGAGACCAGGAGTTTGCAGTTACAGTGAGTCATGATTGCACCACTACTCCAGCCTGAGCAGACTGAGCCCTAGCCCTAAAAAAAAAAAAAAAAAAAAAAAAAAAAAAAGGCCGGGCAGGGTGGCTCACGCCTGTAATCCCAGCACTTTGGGAGGCTGAGGCGGGTGGATCACGAGGTCAGGTGGATCATGAGGTCAGGAGATTGAGACGATCCTGGCTAACACAGTGAAACCCCGTCTCTACTAAAAATACAAAAAAAAAAAAAAGCCGGGCGTGGCAGCAGGCACCTGTAGTCCCAGCTACTTGGGAGGCTGAGGCGGAGCTTGCAGAGAGCCAAGATCATGCCACTGCACTCCAGCCTGGACAACAGAGCGAGACTGTCTCAAAAAAAAAAAAAAAAAAAAATGGGCGAGTGAGGAGGCTGATGGTTGCAATACCTTGAGAAGCTGAGGTTGACTGATGGCTTGAGACCAGGAGTTCAAGACTAGCCTGGGAAGTGTAGCAAAACCCCATCTCTACAAAAAATACACACAGACACACACACACACACGCAAAAGCCAGTTGTGGTGATGCACACCTGTAGGCCCAGCTACCTGGGGAGGCTGAGGAGCTGAGTTGGGAAGATCACCTGAGCCTGGGGAGATAGAGGCTACAGTGAGCTGAGATCACACCACTGCACTCCAACCTGACCAGTGAGATTGCATTTCAAAAAAAAAAAAAAGTTGTCTTTTTGTAAAAATGATACACATTCATTGTAAAAACGCATACTATATAGTAGTAATACAAGAAGGAAGCTACCTGATACCCCGCCACCCAGAGATAAGTGTTGCAAGTTTAGGGAGGTGCTCCTTCTAGACGTGATTTGTGCCACATTCCTAAAATGTGCCCCTTGGAACATGAGTTGCTCAGATGACTCTCAGCAAAAGGACTTTTCATAATGTTTCTTGATGACATTTTAAAAATTCATAAATGAAAAACATCATCATTGTGAAGGGCTTAGGAAATACAGAAAGCATTAAAAAAATCGGTTTAAAAAAATCATCCTTAATCCTATGGTATCAGGATCCCGGCAGGATTTGATGGCATACTCAACCTGGATAATTGAGGAGAGTTTATTAAGGACAAAAGCGTTTCAGGGGTTAGGGACGACTACAAGGAATGGATGGATGTCCCTGGAGTCAGTACCAATTGGGAGCCCACCTCTGCTTGAGTATAAAGGGGAGGGAAGCTTGTTACCAGAATTCAAAGGGGGTGGCTACATAGAGAGGGTCTTCAGTGGAGAGAACGCAGTCAATCCTCTGGTACCCCATAGAAAGAGTGCTGGGTTCGCCTCCCACTGGCCAAAACTAACTAGAGGCCAGATCACCAGGGAGCCCCAGGGCACAGAGTAAGGAGGAGAAGCAGGAGAGAGGTCTCCAGGTGCAGAGAAGATGCAGCATAGTTACTGCCAAAGGTTACAAAGCTTGTCTCTAACAAGCACTAGTCTGTGAATTTATACTCCAAGACAATTCCATTTCCACTATACACAAAGACATTCAGATCCACAACTTTTTTTGTGTTTGTTTTTTTAAAGATGAGGTCTCTCCATGTTGCCCAAGCTGGTCTCCAGCACCTGGGCTCAAGTGATCCTCCCACCTCAGCCTCCCAAAGTGTTGGGATTAAAGACATGAGCTGCTTCACCCAGCCCAGATCCTCAGTCTTAAAACCAGATTTGGGTTCGTGACCAGCCCGGCCAACATGGTGAAACCCTGTCTCTACTGGAAAAAAAAAAAAAAAATTAGCTGGGTGGGGTGGCATGCACCTGTGATCCCAGCTACTCAGGAGGCTGAGGCAAGAGAATCACTTGAGCTTGGGAGGTGCAGGTTGCAGTGAGCCGAGATTGCACCACTGCACTCCAGCCTGGGTGACAAAGTTAGACTCTTGTCTCAAAAACAAACAAACAAAAAACCCAGATTTGGGCCCACTATGCTGTTCTCCTCTAAAGGAAATCAGAGCTTGTTGGAGGGTGTCAACACAAGATGTCAGGACACCCAAAAGTAAGGTAAGCCTGGAACATGCTGCTGGTGTTAGAAAGAAGGGGAGCTCTCTCCTTGTCTCAGGTAATGTTGGAAAGGGATGCGAAGAAACCACAGAAGACTCCCATTGCTAGAGTGAATTGCAGACTATGCATGGAAAAATAATTATGATCATTGGTATAAACTGAACCATGGGTGCATGAAGGTTTTTTTTTGTTTGTTTGTTTGTTTGTTTGTTTTTTTGAGACGGAGTCTTGCTCTGTCCCCCAGGCTGAAGTGCAGTGGCGCAATCTCGCTCACTGCAAACTCCGCCTCCCGGGTTCATGCCATTCTCCTCAGCATCGCCAGTAGCTGGGACTACAGGCGCCCGCTACCACGCCCAGCTAATTATTTGTATTTTTAGTAGAGACGGGGTTTCACTGTGTTAGCCAGGATAGTCTCGATATCTCCTGACCTCGTGATCCGCCGCCCGCCTCGGCCTCCCAAAGTGCTGGGATTACAGGCGGGAGCCACCGCGCCCGGCCTCATGAAGGTATTTTTTAAATGATTCACAAACCATTAACTTTTTGTAAAAGATTCCTGTGGCACACCCATGAATTTCTGCTATCTTTACCAAGATTAAATCACTGCGTAAATCTCACACATATTTTCGTCATATGTGACGGTGAAACCCCTTTTCTACTAAAAATACAAAAAATTAGCCGGGTGTGGTGGCGGCGCCTGTAGTCCCAGCTACTCGGGAGGCTGAGGCAGGAGAATGGCGTAAACCCGGGAGGCGGAGCTTGCAGTGAGCCGCGATCGCGCCACCGCACTCCAGCCTGGGCGACAGAGCGAGACTCGTCTCAAAAAAACAACAAAAAAAACATGCTATGGCTTACTCCCATTATGTGTGTGTGTCTGTGCATCACATGCCTCGGAAAAGTTTCAAAGGGTGGATCCCTAAATGTTTACAGTGATCTTCTGGAAGTGGAGGGATTGATTGCAGGTGTCTAGCAATAACTAGGTATTCTTTTCACACAAATAAACATGCAGTGTCCAGCGTATGAATGGGCCGTGTGCCCAAAGCCCTCCCTCTTGCGCCTCGTAAGCACAAAACACGTTTTCTACAGAAACAGGTGCACCTAGGAAGGCTAGAGAAGCTTTGCGCCGAGGCAGTGTCTTCACGGTTCGGAGAGCTGGGAGTGGAGGTCGGGGGAGGTTCCTCCTCCTCGCCAGCTTTCTGGGCCCCAGGAGCCGCCTCCCTTCGCCCCCGACCCCGCCTCTGTCCCCCAAGCCGCGCACGCGCCTCTTCCGCCGTCTCCGAGAGCAGCCGCAGGGCCGCCCCGGGGACGCGTTGTTCGCTGCGGGAGTTTGGGGTGGCAAGGACCGGGCGCACGGCTGAGACGCGCGGCCGTTCGGAGCGCGAGCCCGTGCACGCGCCTGCGGAGCGGCCCCGCACCTTGCAGCCTCCGCGGGGCGCCGTTCCTGCTGGTGCTCGGCGCGCGCTCCCCTAGGCGCATCGGAGCTCTAGTGACCGCATTATGAATTCGTCCTTTGCTTTTCTCCTCCTGTGATGGCAGCGAGCGCTCGTCTTGTTTGTAAATCGTGCTGGCGAGGCCCATTTTAACCAACTACGAATTTCATTTCAGAATGAGAAAGGAGACGCAGTTTCGGACGTGGCAGCTGTTGCCGACGGTCGTTCCTCTGAGCTACCGGCCCTTACAAGGAAGACCTGCCTTGGGCGGATCTGGAAATGAGTCCCAGCCGCAAGCCCAGGGCGGCGGCAGCCCCATAGGCCGAACAGAGGAAAGACCAGGCGGGGGACTGCGAGCCTGGTGCCGCGTGCCGGGACCCACAACCCCTTTCCCCTGCGCGCTCTTCCCCGAGCGGACGGGAAAAAGCTCTCCTTGGCGGCTGCCCATCCCCAAGGCCCAAGCGATGCTTCCTAACTGCGTGGACGCAGCTGGATGGGGGAGAAAGAGGTATGGGAGCCGGGCTTAGAGCCCCGTCTCGCCTCCTGCCACCTCGGTCCTGCAAGGTTCCGAACCTCACTGAGCCTCAGCTTCCTCCTCTGGCAAATGTGATGATAAAAGTTCTTCTCTTGTAAGGTTGGTGCGAAGACTAAATGGCCCTTTACTGTATATTTACAGCACCTGGCTCATGGATTGGTCACCTCGCTCCTGGACTCAACAGTGTTCACTGGGTCCTTACAGCATCACACTGGGATCCTTAAGGGCAAAGACCAAAATTAGACCTAGCTTAATTCGTGGTGTGCAACTGCTAAATGTTACGAAATGAGTGAGTGACAGGATGATCCAGCTATGAGAAATAGGAGAGAGTTTACAGTGGGATAGAGACTGTACCTTCTTTTCGTATAAGATGTTTGGCAGTTGGGGATAACTTATGGGAAGCAAGTTTAAGATGCACACGAAATCTTGACCGAGAGGATGTAGAAATTAGATATATGGCCAATAATCAGATAAGCAAATAAACAGATCTCAAATAAAATGTTTAGTTTTGAGGTTAGAGGTGGGAGATCAGGGTAACCAGGCAAAAAAACTGATACAATAAATAACGACATGACAAATCACTTCTCTCAACACATTTCAAAAAAAAATCACTTTATTTTATAACTGCAAGATTTTCTTCAAACCAGTTGCTTGCTATTACAAGCTCAAAAACTTATCCTGCTCTGGTGGCAAACATTTCGTGACTCATGCTGTGTAACAAAGACCTGTGTGGACGTTGAGTTGTATATTGCTGATGCTCCTGAACATAAAGGAAAAGTAGAAAATTGCCGCCTTTTTCCCAATGATTTGTGGAGAATTATTACTAGACTAGCTGCTACCTGTGCATGAAATGCACCACTATTGCTTAATAAATCTGGGCCGGGTGCGGTGGCTCATGCCTGTAATCCCAGCACTATGGGAGGCCAAGGCAGGCGGATTGCCTGAGCTCAGGAGTTCAAGACCAGCCTGGCCAACATGGTGAAACCCCATCTCTACTAAAATACAAAAATTAGCCGAGTGTAGTGGTGGGGGCCTGTAATCCCAGCTACTGGGGAGGCTGAGGCAGAAGAATCACTTGAACCCAGGAAGCAGAGGTCGCAGTGAGCTGAGATTGCACCACTGCACTCCAGTCTGGGCAAAAGAGCAAGACTTTGTCTCAGAAAAAAAAAATAAAAGAAAAATGAATAGCACTGGGCACGGTGGCTCACACTGTAATCCCAACACTTAAGGAGGCAGAGGTGGGAGAATAGCTTGAGCTCAGGAGTTTCAGACCTGCCTGGGCAATGTAGCAAGACCCCATTCTCCAAAAAAGGGAAAAAATCTGAATAGTATATCAATGTGTATTATTTGCTTATCGTATATTTCTTTTTTGTTTTTTTCTTCTCAATGTAGCACTTGTACTGTTGGGAGGATAAAACAGGTGCTCTTGATTAAATAGGGATTTGAAGGATATGCGTAGATTCTGTCTACGATCTGTCCCAATCACTTGTTCATTCCATTCAACAAATATTTATTTATTTATTTGAAAAAGGGTCTGAGTCTGTCACCCATGCTGGAGTACAGTAGTGTGACTTCAGCTCACTGTAACTGCCACTTCCTGGGCTCAAGCCATCCTCCCACTTCAGCCTCCCAGGTAGCTGTGATTAAAGGTGCTTACCACCATGCAGCTAAGTTTTGTATTTTTGGTAGCAACAGGGTTTTGCCATATTGCCCAGGCTGGTCTCAAACTCCTAGGCTTAAGTAATCATCCTGCCTCAGCCTCCCAAAGTGCTAGGATTACAGGTGTGGGCCACCATGCTCAGTCCCAACAAATATTTATTTGAACATTTTATAACTGTGAAAGATGTATTTGGACCCGATACAATGAGAGTCCAGAAAGAGTTCTTGGAAATGAAAAACTTGATAATAAATATGAAAAACTCCATATAGAAACTGAAAGTTAAAATCGAGGAAATCTCCCCAAATTAGAGTAAAAATGTAAAGAGCTGGAAAGAGTCAAGAAAATTGCCAAGGACCAACCCAGTAGGTCTAACATATGATGATTAGTGGCCCCAGAAGGAACACGGGAAATGGACAGGAAGAAATCTTGTCAAAGAAATAATTAAAAAGCATCCTACAAAGGGAAGATGTTTCCAGATTGAATCTAAGTGCCCAGCCCATGGATGAGTGAGTGTAAACTCACACTTAGTCACTTCATTATGAAATGTTAGAGCACTCAGGTCAAACAGGATTCCCCAAGTTTCTGGAGACAAAAAAACACAGATCACATACACAGGATCAGGACAAATGGTGTCAGCTTTCTTTCTCTCTTTTTTTTTTTTTTGTGTGAGACAGGGTCTTAAACAGGTCCAGCCTAGGCTGGAGTGCAGTGGCATGATCTTGGCTCACCGCAACCTGCTGGGATTACAGGCGTGCACCACCACGCTGAGCTAATTTTTGTAATTTTAGTAGAGACAGAGTTTCACCATCTTGGCCAGGCTGGTCTTGAACTCCTGAGCTCAAGCGATTCGCCAGCCTTGGCCTCCCAAAGTGGTGGGGTTACAGGTGTGAGCCACTGTGCCCTGCCAACCCAGATTTTTAAATACAGCACTAGAATAAGATGAAAGCGAAATGCTTGTAATCCCAGCACTTTGGGAGGCCGAGGCAGGCAGATCACCTGAGGCCAGGAGTTTGAGATCAGGCTGGGCAACATGGTGAAATCCTGTCTCTACTAAAAATTCAAAATTAGCTGGGGGTAGGGATGCATGCCTGTAGTCCCAGCTACTTGGAAGGCTGAGGCAGGAGACCTGCCTGAACCCGGGAGGCAGAGGTTGCAGTGAGCCGAGATCATACCATGCACTCCAGCCTGGGCAACAAGAGCAAAACTCCATCTCAAAAAAAAAAAAAAAAAAAGAAAAGAAAAGAAAGAAAAAAAAGATGAAAGAGAAATGCCTTTACAATTTTGAAGGAAAATGGTATCTAGTCCAGAATTTTATACTCAGCCAAAGTATCAAACACATGTGAGAGTAGAATAAAGACAATTTGGGCCATGCCAGGTTTAAAAACAAATATCTGGCCGGGCGCAGTGGCTCACGCTTGTAATCCCCAGCACTTTGGGAGGCCAAGGTGGGTGGATCACCTGAGGTCAGGAGTTCAAGATCAGCCTGGCCAACATGGCGAAACCCTGTCTCTACTAAAAATATGAAAATTAGTCGGGTGTGGTGGTGGGTGCCTGTAATTGCAGCTACTCAGGAGGCTGAGGCAGGAGAATCATTTGAACCTGGGCGGCAGAGGTTTCAGTGAGCCAAGATCACACCACTGCACTCCAGTCTGGGTGACAAGAGCCAAACTCAGTCTCAAACAAAAGCAAGTATCTTCCTTGTGCCCCTTCCCAAAAAACTGTCCTGGTATATACCGCAATGCTGCCAGTGCCACACTGCCTTGACCTCTGTGCTTCCGGGAACTGCTTTGTGGCTTTGCCTTCTCACAGCCGGAGTGACCCCGATAGGCTCTCAGGGATGCTGAGGCCAGCTTCCGGTGCAGGACTCTGTGTCATATCCTCTCCTGGGCCTCCATCTAATGGGGCCATAGAGCCCTTTTTTTGCTGGGTTTGTGCTTGCTACTAACTTTTTCAAAACTGAGCAATATATTGTTGAGATTTCTTTTTTTCTTTTTTTGAGACACAGTCTTACTCTGTCACCCAGGCTGGAGTGTAGTGGTGCCATCTCGGCTCACTGCAACCTCTGACTCCGGGTTCAAGTGATTCTTGTGCCTCAGTCTCCCAAGTAGCTGGGATTACAAGCGTGTGCCACCATGCCCAGCTAATTTTTGTGTTTTTTTGGTAGAGCTGGAGTTTCACCATGTTGGCCAGGCTTGTCTATTGTTCAGATTTCATACATAGATAGCAAAACCATAAAGCATGAGAATGACTAACATAAAAGTTAAGGAAGTGGTTGCCCCTGGTAGAGGGAGATGAGAGAGAGAAGCAATTGGGGAGCGCCCCCAGGAGTTTCATGAGGTCCTAGGGTAGTAGGCATCCTGCTGTTTGCTTGCTTTCCCTGTTTCTTTGCTGCATTGGTATTGCTTCCTATCTCCTTGGCTTTCCCATGAGATGTTGCCCAACTGTTTATGATGTGGGCTGGGGATGTTCTAGGATGGGGAAACTACATCACAGATTACACCTCAATGAAGGGCAACAACAGCAGTCACCATTGTAAGTGTTTTATTTGTATTAACTAATTTGGTCTTTTCAACATCATCCCTATTTATAGATAAAAGTACTGGAGACCCAAACAGTACCAAGCAATTCAGTGTTTTCTGAAGGAAGACAAGTCAGAAGAGTGGCTTGCACCTGCAATCCCATCACTTTGGGAGGCTGAGGCCAGAGGATAGTTTGAGCCCAGGAGTTCGAGACCAGCCTGGGCAACACAGCCAGACCACCCTCCCCCACATCTCTACAAAGATTAAAATTAAAAAAATTAACTGGACATGGTGGCGAGTGCCTGTGGTCCTAGCCACTTGAGAGGCTGAGGCAGGAGGCTCACCTGAGCCCGGGAGTTGAAGCTGGAGGTTGCAATGAGCTATGATCGCATCACTGCACTCCAGCCTGGGTCACAGAGTGAGAGTTGGTCTTAATAACAATGATAATAATAAAAAAAGGCAAACCAAATGTTCAATGCAACTGCATTTTAAGAACAAGTTTAGAAACCAAAACTTTACTCAATCAGTAACCCTGTAACTAATAACAATATATATTTTAGTCCCACGTTGAGACAGAGCATGCAGAATGGAGAAAAGACAAAGGAACTAAGTGGGAATGGGAAGGACAGATAGCAGGGAACAAGGGAAGGGCAGTCTCTTCTGGTGCCCACCAGGTTTTCACCTTATCCAGGGGCCAAGAAGCCAGCTCTCCAGGGACTAAAACTAGACGCATGAGGACTTGCTTCCACAGAAACCATATAGAATTTGGGGCTGTGAGCTGTAGAGGGAGTGGAGATCCCTCCATGTGGATGAGGAGGGGGTGGGGGTTCTGTGTGTCCGTCCATTCACTCTTGAGGGGCTCTGGTCCCTGCTTCTACCGAGGTGGTGACCCCTTTGTGTTGCCGGCGTCAGATTTCCTGTTTGTGATGCCCTTTAGTTTCTGTGTCTGCCCGCCTAGGCTTTGTCCTCAGGCTCATCCAGTAGCTGGGATTTTTCTGGCCACAGCCTCCTCTGATTCTGGCCCTGAGGGACTGAGTGTCTTTTATTTCAGGCTGCTCTAAAACCACTCCAGCTGCGCCCAGCACCGCTTCCTGCCACAAGACCGGGGAGGATGGTGACTTGGGTTCCGGTAACAAAGCCCCTTCCGTGAAGTTCCCCAACATACTCAGCTTTTTCCTTAACATAGCTGAGGTTGGGGAGGGGTCCAAAGAATCAGTCGCACAAAGGGAGAGAGCAGCTCTGTTCCAATAAACGAGATTTTGCACGTTCCAGTGCTTTCGGTCCACTGGAAGCTCTATATCCTCATTGCTGATGCCGTTTGTCTCGGTTTTAGGGACCCAGTGACTCAGCACCCACAATCATGTTGCCTCTTGGCTGTGGCTGCAAGGCTTGCAGCTCCATAGTCATGACAACATTAAATCCCCTCCATCCAAACTGTCAAAAGTCTGGAATTTTACCCTACGTAAAAGATAGTTACGGTTGCTGTTTCATGGATGCTGGCAGAAGACACAAGACGCCTGGGTCAGAGACAGAATAATGTATGGCTCATGGCACAACAATCAGCACTAGCATCCTGCTTGTGTCAATTCTTGCTCTCTCAAGCCCCACAGGGGCAACATGGAGAGGCCCAGGTGGATGCTATGCATGGAATGGTTTGCATTGCAGAAAAGGAATTCTCATTTCAGGGAAACTACCTATTTCATGGCCATCCTTCTCTCTGTCCTGGTGGAAGACATTACCTTATTCCTCAAGGCTGCCCACTACACACACAGCTCTGGGAAAGGGCCTAGGAAAGTGTGGCCAGGGCCTTGCATTCCTGGCACACCCAGCATGAACACGCAGGCATGCTCTGGACCACGCAGTCTGCCTTTCCCAACCCTGGCCTCAGACGGTGCTGAAGAATAAAATAGGATAAATGCCTGCAACATAATAAACTCAACCAATGCCAATAATTATATAATCATTCGAGTTGGTCAAAGAAATTAAGGCAGTTCTGACTATATCACACTCCTGAACATGTACAAAAAGTGACATGTACTAGTTAAATAAGAACTTAAACACAGCTGGGCATGGTGGCTCACGCTTGTAATCCCAGTACTTTGGGAGGCCGAGGCGGGCAGATCACTTGAAAGTCAGGAGTTCGAGACCAGCCTGGCCAATATGGTGAAACCCCATCTCTACTAAAAATACAAAAATCAGCTGGGCATGGTGGCCTATGCCTGTAATCCCAGCTACTCGGGAGGCTGAGGCAGGAGAATTGCTTGAACCCAGGAAGCAGAGATTGCAGTGAGCTGAGATCACGCCACTGCACTCCAGCCTGGGGCGCCAGAGCCAGACTCTGTCTCAAAAAAAAAAAAAAAAAAAAAGAACTTAAACACTATAAAGGGAAGGGATCCCTTAAGTTTCTTTTGTCTTGAGACAAAAAATATACAGAATATCTAATTACATCTTGCCTTTTAGATATTTTCTTCAATGACATTTCCAAATCATTTGTTCACACTCTTGTTTTACTCTCCAACCCAACACATTAGGGATTGGCTTAAGGCCAGTGAGCCTCAACTAGTGTGGCAAAGGTTTGTTACTTTTGGCCTGCATAATTATTGACTTCCAACTGTAGTAAATTACAAAACCTTTGCTTTTTCACTAATATCACCAATTTTCTTTTTTTTTTCTTTTTTTTTTTTTTTTTGAGACGGAGTCTGGCTCTGTCACCCAGGCTGGAGTGCAGTGGCGTGATCTCGGCTCACTGCAAGCTCCGTCTCCCGGGTTTACGCCATTCTCCTGCCTCAGCCTCCCGAGTAGCTGGGACTACAGGCGCCCGCCACCTCGCCCGGCTAGTTTTTTGTATTTTTTAGTAGAGACGGGGTTTCACCGTGTTAGCCAGGATGGTCTCGATCTCCTGACCTCGTGATCCGCCCGTCTCGGCCTCCCAAAGTGCTGGGATTACAGGCTTGAGCCACCGCGCCCAGCCACCAATTTTCATTTTTAAAAATACCCATTCAGGCCGGGCATGGTGGCTCAGGCCTGTAACCCCAGTGCTTTGGGAGGCCAAGGTTGGAGGATCGCTTGAAGCCAGGAGTTCAAGACCAGCCTGGGCAGCACAGCAAGACCCTATCTCTATAAACAAACAAACAAAAACAAATCAACAAATTAGCCTGGCATGGTGGCATGTGCCTGTAGTCTCAGCTACTTAGGAAGGTGGGAAGATCACTGGAGCCCAGGAGTTTGAGGTTACAGTGAGCTATGACTGCACCACTGCACTCCAGCCTGGACAACAGAGCCAGATCCCATCTCAAAAAGAATTCCACTCATTTAATACTCAGGGTGAAATGCAACAAAATATTAATTGCTCCAATGCGGCAGCACTGGCTAAGGCCAGAAGCAATGCCACTAGACTGTGCTGCTGTTGGAAGGGCGGGTAACTTGTCACCTGTCTGGAGAGTGCAGATGTCCATTATGAGAGGCAACTGTGGGGTGCCAGGCACAATGCATGGAGAACTGAGGATAACACCAGCAGCTCAAAGATTGCCCATCCTGTGTTGGGCTCTGGCAGGAATTGGCACTTGAGGCTTTCACTGAGGCTGCCCTTCAGTTGCCTGTGTCTGCCTCCAAGAAGAGCTGATGCTTGGTGACCCTCCTCACAACAGACACAGTCACCAGTGCATGGAGGGCACTGTATCCACGTCTGTTGGCTTATTTTTTAAAAACTGTTTTGTAGAGGCAGGGTCTCACTGTGTTGCCCAGGATGGTCTCAAAATTTCTGGGCTCAAGCAATCCTCCTGCCTCAGCCTCCCAAAGTTCTAAAATTACAGGCATGAGCCACTATGCCCAGCCTTACTGGCTTATTAAAAAGTTGGTGGTGGCTGGGCGTGGTGGCTCACACCTATAATCCCAGCACTTTGGGAGCTGAGGCAGGTGGATCACTTGAGGCCAGCTGACAGCATTCTGGGAACAGTCACGTCATTGAATATGCCCAGTGCCGGCAACCTGTTACCTCTGCATGAGGCCTGGAGTCTGGGAAACAGCAGTCACTCAGAACCAAGTTTATTGGGTGGAAGGGCCATCAGGTTGGGTAAGATCATCTGGGATAAGAAAGGATAGATATGACCAAGAATGGGGCAGTTTTCCTTTGTGAGTCATAAAATTGCCTCCAAACACAGAGTGTTTAGGAATGTTTTTAGGAAGCACGGGCTGCTGGATAAAACCTGACACTTGCTATTTCCTGGTATAGTTCTAGGTGCCAGGCAACCCTATGGTGTAGGTAAAATTATCCCTGTTGGGCCCAGAGTAGCTAAAAACAGGCCTAAGATCACACAGGTAGGAAGGGGTAAAGCTCAGATTTGAACCCAGATGGTATAACAGAAGAGTCTATATGTTCAACCGCCTCATGAAACTGCCTCTTGGTTAAAAAAGACGAATGCCTCCTAAAGTGAAGACCTGGAAGGGAACAAGCCTGTTTGGAAACACAGCAGACGGGCCGGGTCCGGTGGCAGACTCATGGCTTATCCGCTTTCTTTTTGCTTTCCCTTGGTCCTGCCAGCCTGACTCCTGTTCCTTAATTAGGACTCCACATCTAGCACCGTGAGAATCACCTTCCTGAAGCTCAGCTCTGTGAGGACGCCCCTGTGCATAGGGGGTGAAAACAGAAGGCCTGGCTTTGCGGCAGATGAGGCCAGACAAGTCAAGTATCTTCTTGGGGCCTTGATTTCTTCATTGGTAAAATGGGGGCCCTCAATATATTTCCCAGGGCTTGATGGGGATTCAATGATAATGTATGCTAAAGTGGAACTTTACAAATGCTTGTCACATATACACTCAATTTTTGCTTAATCTAAGTGTTCTAATCAAATACATGCTATGAAGATGTGAAAAACAAATAAAACTCCTCAGACAAGAAACATGCTATGGCTTCCTGTTGTCTCCTAAATAAAGTAAAAACTCTTCACAATGGCATTTTTTTTTTGAATGGAGAGATTAAGATTAGACTCTCTCTCATCACATTGTTTCATTCTTTACATTTGCCCTGCAGTCAGCTTAATGGAGTTCTTAACAGTACCCAAGATACACCTGTGTCTTCCCGCCTTCATGCTTTTTCTTTTTCTCTGTCCCTGTGAAATCCCCCACCTCCTGCCTCCACGGAAATCCTCAGCCACCCTTTGCATCACAGCTATAAAGCCTCACAGGCGCTCCTAAGTCAGAAGTGATTTCCCACAGTGCCCCCTTGTGGCACTGACTGCATTCTGCCTTTTTCTTTTTCTTTTTCTTCTTTTTTCCTTTTTCAGAGATGCAGTTCTTGTTCTGTTGCCCAGGCTGGAGCACAGTGGCTACTCACAGGCATGATCATACCGCACTATGGTCTGGAACTCCCGGGCTCAAGCAATCCTCCTGCCTCTGCCTCACAGGTGGGTACCACCATATTTGTAGTTTTACTTCTCCTGTGAGACTTGAACTCCTCAAGGGTCTTATCTATGCCTTGTCTTTCTCTGAGTCCCTGAAAGTGCTCACAGAGCACATACAAATATTTGAGACATAATTAAATGAAGTGACAGGTCTTTAGATACAGAAATGCAGGACCCAGGCAAAAGTCTGGGTAACCTGTGCAGGCCTGGGGTTGGGGAGCAGCGAATTCAGTTCATCTTTGGAGAGAGACAGCACGTGGACTGAAACAAAGCTAAATTCCCTTGCTCTGAGCCCATCTTGGTAACTAATGTCATCCCGGGGGTCTGTACCTGCCAGGGTGCCCCCAGTCCTTTAGCTTCCTGAGGATAATCCTCTATTAAAAATTGTCTAAAAACAGACCGGGCATGGTGGCTCACACCTGTAATCCAGCACTCTGGGAGGCCGAGGTGGGAAGATTGCTTGAGGCCAGGAGTTCAAGACCAGTCTGCGCAACACAGCGAAACCCCATCTCTACCAAAAATACAAAAATTAGCTGGGTGTGGTGGTGCACACCTGTAGTCCCAGCTACTGGGAAGGCTGAGGCGGGAGGATGGTTTGAGCCCAGGAGAAGTCGAGGCTACAGTGAGCTGAAACTGTGTCACTGCATTCCAGCCTGGGCAACACAGCCAGACCCTGTTTCCAAAAAAATTGTCTAAAAACAACTTTAGAGAGACAAAAACTATACACTATAAAATTCTTTATTTATTTATTTATTTTTGAGATATAATCTGGCTCTGTCGCCAGGCTGGAGTGCAATGGCACGATCTCAGCTCACTGCAACCTCTGACTCCCTGGTTCAAGTGATTCTCCTGCCTCAGCCTCCCGAGTAGCTGGGATTACAGGCCCGTGCCACCACATCCAGCTTATTTTTTTGTATTTTTAGTGGAGATGGGGTTTCACTATGTTGGCCAGGATGGTCTCGATCTCCTGACCTTGTGATCCGCCCGCCTTGGCCTCCCAAAGTGCTGGGACTAGACCCCTTCCCCCATTTTCAACAAGTTGGCCCAGGAAGTTTCCCCGAGCCCCTTCCCCAGAGTGAGGAAGCATGGCTGTCATTTTTCTTTTCTATCTTTTTAATTAAAAAATTGTTTTCATTTTGTGGGGGAAGAGTCTTGCTATGTGGGTCAGGCTGGAGTGCACTGGCACAATCCTAGCTTGCTGCAGCCTTGAAGTCCTGGGCTCAAGCAATCCTCCTGCCTCAGCCTTCCAAGTTGTTGTGACTACAGGCACACACTACCAGGCCTGGCTACTTTTTTATTGTTTGAAGAAACAGGGCCTCACTATGTTACCCAAGCTGGTCTCAAACTCCCGGCCTCAAGCAATCCTCTTTCCTCAGCCTCCTAAAGTGCTGGGATTACAAGCATGAGCCACCACATCCAGCCTGTTGTTCTCTGGCCCTGCCTGCACCGGTTTCCCCGGGCGGCAGACAGGGCCCTGCCATAGAGTGTCACCGACAACTGGGAGCGGACGGGGGCCCCGGCCCTGTTCGTTCCGCTGGGTGAGAACGAGGGTCTTGGGGCCACCGGTTTAGCTGGGACGGGTGGGGGACAGCAGCTTTCTTTTTCAATTGTTCAACACAGAAGAGAAACCCAAAGCAAGACGCCAATCATTAAAACACGCAGACACAGACACACGCGCACGTGACCTCGCTCGCCGGGTGCTTTCGTTACCTCAAACGGAAACGGGACTTTTCAGGCCCTCTTTTCCTGCCTACCTCATGGGACTGTTGCCAAAGAGGAAGGAAGCGGAAGGAAAGGTCTTGGGACGGGACAGGGGCTAAGCGGCCGTACGTTCGTTACGATGTGAGGGGTGCCGGGGGGCTGGAGACTGAGGTCGGGGAAAGCACGGGCCCTGGGTCCTTGGGGCCTGCGGGCGGCCGGAACCAGAGTGCGCGGGTCTAGGGATTCGGGGACCCAAATGCACCAGGCCCACACATCCCACTCAGAGGGCTGCGGGAAGCCCCGCGCATACGCCAGGGACACGCCCCGCCCACACTTCCGGGGCGCGACCCGGAAGCGGAAGGGAGCCCGTTTCTTTTCCTTCCCCCAGTGCGTCTTTCCTGCGTCGTACCGGCGCGGCGGGAGCGGAGGTCCACGGCCGTTTGCAGCGTGCGGCTGGGGGGCGTGGAGGCCTGAAGCCTCCAAGCAGCCGCGGCCATGGCGGATGTAACCGCCCGTAGTCTGCAGTACGAGTACAAGGCGGTACGTTTGGGCTCGTGGGAGGATTCCAGGCTCAGGAGTCCAGTGGGGAGGGGGAGGCTGAAAAAGAGAGTTTCAGTCTGAAGGCCTCCAGGAGAGCCACGAAAACGGAGGGGAAGTGGAATCGCGGTGAAGGTGGGGGTTATTTGATGACGTGAATAACCTACGGGGGTCTGGGGAGTGCTAAGATCTCTCTAGGAGGAGTTTCTCGAGTCCCTTCAACGCTAAGCCCGCCCCCTTCCACACTTCACTCCCAACCCACTCACCACTTTTCCCAGATGTGGGTTATGATGGGCACTGTTAGGAACAAGAATTGCTTAGCTGATTCGACAGGCCGTAAGACTTATTCAGCTCTATGCTTCTGCACAGCGTCATACCATGCAGTTCTTAAGGAAAATATCATTATTACGATTAGCGATTATAAGCAACTAGCTACTACGATTCTTCCATCAGCTGGGGTAACTGTGATAGTAGGAACTGGCCCTGCTCATGTCAAAGCTTCAATAATGTTTTGATCTTTTCAGAACTCAAATCTTGTGCTCCAAGCTGACCGCTCTCTCATTGACCGGACCCGCCGGGATGAACCCACAGGAGAAGTGCTGTCCCTTGTTGGGAAGCTGGAGGGCACACGTATGGGAGACAAGGCTCAACGGACCAAACCGCAGATGCAGGAGGAAAGAAGAGCCAAGTGAGTGCTAAGGGAATACTATTTTTTCCTTCAGATCCAAAGTCTCTTCTCTTTAACATTCGAGCAGCATTTTGGCCGGAATGCTTGGTGTAAGATCAGTGGCATTAAAACGGTTTAGTGAAGGTAAAAACAGAACAGGAGAGTTTAAAGATTTTTTTGGCCTTAAAAAGTGTACCTAAAGTGGAAAATAACTTGTTGGTACCTTTTTCTTACATGTGTGTTTCTAGTCCATAGACAGATATTACTTTTCTTCAGGGTATTTTCAAGACCCTTGCTATTCCTATGTCTCAGTAATTCTTTTTCTTTTTCTTTTTTTTTCCATTATTAACTTTCTACCCCTATTTTTTCCCTTTACTCTTGTCCACTTCTTACCTATTTTGTTGTTACAAACTAATTTAAGCATCCATGGTATGAAAGACAGTTTTTTTTCTTATTTTGCATTTTTTTTCTTTTTTTCTTTTCTTAAATATTTCTTGGGGACGCATTTCAAAACTTACCTTTACCTCACCATTATCTTTTGATCTGGAATATCTTGGTGTCTTGCTCCCTTTCCTATGATGATGTTTCCAAAATTCATGGGCTTAGTTTGATTAAAGTATGTTTGAAATGAGTTAATACATTATCTCCACTTTGTGCTATATCTTCTTTTCCAGTTTTGTTATAATTGGTTGATAGTCAACGGCAGTAGATTCTGTTAGAGCTTGTTTCTCTAGTTAGAAAAGGAAAATGCATTTGAGAGATGAAAAACTAGTCAAAATCCTATTATATAATAGTCTCATACAATGTATGAAAGGTTGTCCTTTTTTTTTTTTTGAGAAGGGTTATACTTCTTTTTTTTTTTTTTGGAGATGGTGTCTCGTTCTGTCACCCAGGCTGGAGTGCAGTGGCGTGATGTCTGCTCACTGCAACCTCCACCTCCCGGGTTCCAGTGATTCTCCTGCCTCCGCCTCCTGAGTAGCTGGGATTACAGGTGCTTGCCACCGTGCCCGGCTAATTTTTGTATTTTTAGTAGAGACAGGGTTTCGCCATGTTGGCCAGGCTGGTCTTGAACTCCTGACCTCAGGTGATCCGCCCACCTCGGCCTCCCAAAGTGCTGGGATTACAGGCGTCAGGCACTGCACCTGACCAAAGGGTTGCATGTTTTAAATGAGAAACATATCTCACTGTAATGTGTAGTGTATCTAGTGAGAAGACGATGGGGAATTTTTCTTTCTGTCACTGGGTCCCATAAAGAAATACTCCTGCAAGTGATCAAGGTCCAATAGGAATCATTTGCTGAGGCTCAGGTACCGGTTTTCAGATATTAACTTCCTGCCATGAAGCTGAGGAGAGGAGGGTGGGCTTGATCCAGTCTTCCCTCGGGGAGGAAAGGTTCTGCCATTCACCGTCACGTGTCCACCAGGCGAAGAAAGCGTGATGAGGACCGGCATGACATCAACAAGATGAAGGGTTACACTCTGCTGTCGGAGGGCATTGATGAGATGGTGGGTATCATCTACAAACCCAAAACTAAGGAGACCCGGGAGACCTATGAGGTGCTGCTCAGCTTCATCCAGGCTGCTCTTGGGGACCAGG